TGATGAAAGTGGGCATCCTGATTTTGTTATAAATGTTAAGAGATCAATTTGTTGGGTTTTCCCAATGCAGTATCACATTAGCTGTGGGTTGGTTAATTTGCTGCATATGGCCTTGGTTATATTGTGGTATGATCCTTCTATACCTACTTTGTTCAGAGCTTTGATCGTAAGTAGATAGATATTTAATCTTATCAAATACTTTTTGTGAGTCTGTTGAGTTCTCCATTCTGTTGATGGGGTGTAACACGTTTATTGATTTGTGTGTTTTGAATCATCTTTGCATCTATGGGATGATCCACTTGATCATGATGAATAATGCTTTTTTGATGTCTGTTGGATTTAGTTTATTGGATTTTGTAGAGAGTTTTTGCCTCAATGTTCATTGGGGATACTGACCTATAGGCTTCTTTTGTTTGTTACCTGGATTTTGTCAGGTAAAGGCTGGCCTCACAGAATGAATCTGGAAGAATTCCTCTTCTTCAATTTTTTTGAATAATTGAAAAGATTTGTCATTAATTATTTTTTTACTTTTATTTAATGAATATAAATTCGCAAAGTACAGCTTATGGATTACAATGGCTCCCCCCCAATAACTTCCCTCCCACCTGCAACCCTCCCCTCTCCCGCTCCCTCTCCTATTCCATTCACATCAAGCTTCATTTTCAATTATCTTTATATACAGAAGATCAATTTAGTATATATTAAAGATTTCAACAGTTTGCACCCACACGGAAACACAAAATTAAAAATACTGTTTGAGTACTAGTTATAGCATTAAATCACAATGTAAAGCACATGAAGGGCAGAGATCCTACATGAGGAGTAAGTGCACAGTGACTCCTGTTGTTGACGTAACAATTTGACACTCTTGTTTATGGCATCAGTAATCTCCCTAGGCTCTTGTCATGAGTTGCAAAGGCTATGGAAGCCTTTTGAGTTTGCTGACTCTGATCATATTTAGACAAGGTCATAGTCAAAGTGGAAGTTCTCTCCTCCCTTCAGCGAAAGGTACCTCCTTCTTTGATGACCTGTTCTTTCCACTGGGATCTCACTCACTGAGATCTTTCATTTAAGTGTGTTTGTTTATTTGTTTGTTTTGCCATAGTGTCTTGGCTTTCCATGCCTAAAATACTCTCATGGGCTCTTCAGCCAGATCTGAATGCCTTAAGGGCTGAATCTGAGGCCAGAGTGCTGTTTAGGACATATGCCATTCTATGAGTCTGCTGTGTATCTCGCTTCCTATGTTGGATAATTCCCTTTTTTATTCTATCAGTGACACTAGTCTTGTTTGTGTGATCCTTTTGACTGTTAAACCTATCAGTGTGATCAATTGTGAACTGAAATTGATTACTTGGACTAGTGAGATGGCATTGGTACATGCCACCTTGATGGGATTGGATTAGAATCCCCTGGTATATTTTTAACTCTACCATTTGGGGCAAGTCCGATTGAGTATGTCCCAAATTGTAGATCTCTTCCCTCTCTTATTCCCACTCTTATATTTAACAGGGATCACTTTTAAGTTAAGTTTCAACACTTAAGAATAACTGTATTAATTACAGAATTCAACCAATAGTATTAAGTAGAACTAGACTAGAACCCTGGTGTACTGGCGCTGCAGGCAGAGGATTAGCGTAGTGAGCCGCAGCACTGGCTTCCTGTTTTCTTTTACAGCCTGTTTGCATGAAGTATAATTTTCCATCTTGTCACTTTCAGTCTATGAATTTTCCTTAGGGATGAAATGAATATTTTATCATCAGCATAAATCTGGCCTTTTTGGGGTATTAATTCAATTTTTATATAGTTTTTTTGGAAAATTTAATTCATTTACATTTATAGTAATTACTGCTAGCTAAGGTCTCACTACTGTCATTTTGTTTTATTTTCAAGGTTTTCTGTAGCTTCATTATAAAATTGTTTATTTTTATTTGAAAATTGGAGAGACAGAAAATGAGAGGCAGAGGCAGATAGTGATTTTCCATTTTCTTATTTAATCCCCAAATACCTACAACAGGGGTGCTGAGCCAAAGCCCAGAGTCTAAAATTTAATCCATGTCTCCAGGGTGTACATTATCTGGAAGTGGGAATTGAAAGCAGAGTAGGGACTCAAATCCAAGACCTCTGATATGGAATGCAGGCATCCCAAGTGGCATCTTATCTGCTGTGCCAAACATGGGCCTCTGACCTTTGGTCTTGACAGGTCTACTTCTACTTTGACTGGACCACTTGCACCCCGTGATAGCCATTGCTTTGATTGTGCTTTGTCTTTAGGATCATATTGATAAAACCTTGCTTCATCTCTTGTTACAATTCTTGAAGAAATGTGTCAGGATCTTCCAGTTGCTTAAAATTTCCACTGAAAGCTCTGCTCATCTGCAACTGGAGCAAAAGTGTTTGCACCCATCAAGTGAAAATTTGCCTGACTTCAGTCTTTTAGTTACAGATTATGGTGAACCAGTGGTGATGTCTATGATGTTGGCTATTTCTGCTGTTAATCCTTGGTCCTCTTCAATAGAGGCATAAACAAGATTGATTCTATCTATGCAAATTTGTATAATGGTCTGCGGCTATACACTTCATCTTCCACATCATCTCATTCCTTCTTAAAATGAGTTATCTATTTTCAAAATGATGGTTTGGTGCAGGCAGCACTGTTCCAACAAACTTTTCATAAAGCATTAATGACTTTGCCAATATAATACTCAAACTTCACTATAAATTTGATTTTTGTTCTTCAATTCTAGTAGAATTCATGGAACTCTGGTAGAGGCTTGTTTAGAACTGGTATTATCCTGATATTATCAATGCTTCAAACTAGATCCTTCCCTGGGAGGAGAGTTGTGCCCTCCAATGACCACTTCTGGAAACTTCTAGCTTTTCATTTCATTTTTCAATAATAGCCATTGGCTTGTCCTTAACTGATATCATTATAAAAGAGTTCCAGGGCACCTTCAAAGCCCTGTTGCAAAACAGACCTCAAACACTCATCCAACCACAGCCCAGCATCAGAGACTGAGGATAATGGACAGAAGGGCGGGGTCAATGAAGGCCCACATTGTAGGGAGCTCTCATGGGCCCACATGCCCTGTCGCCTTGGCCTTGGCTTTCTGTAGTTTCCTTCTTACTTCTCTTGCAGACTTAATTGTGGAGTGCCTGGAAAGGTAGGCCTTCTCCATCAGCCTCCATCTGAGGCTGAGATGGGTCCAGAGGAACTGTCCACCATCACCACTATGTGATGAGGCACTGAAGGGTTCTGTTTGGCACTGGGCCATGCTGTAGAGTGTCTGATCCCAGATTCCAAATCAATACTTGTACCCTTGTACCTACAAATTTCTTCTTTCCATAAACAGAAACTGACTCTCCCTGTTATGTTGCCTGGAGTTGGAAGTGGGATGAGGTGCTGTGGCTTCTGTAGATCTAGCAACAATAAATCATACCCAGAGCTCAAAGATCATGATGACCAGTGTAGCACTGAGGGAGAATCAAAGTCCATACTGCTGTGGCCTGTGTGCTGGTGTGATCTATTCATGGCTTGAGGCTGCTACAGCCACCTTGAGGTGATGCTGGCTGGAAAAGTCTGTCTCACCAAGGCCTCTGCTTGGCTCTGAGCAGGTTAAGAGGGTCTGTCTTTCAGCATTGGCCTGGACAGGGTCCACTGTGTTGCGCATTGCATTGAGTTTCATCATGGTGAACCCAGGGCTGAGTTCATAGGCAAAGTCCTGTACTTTCTTCCCTCCTGCCAACAGTTTTTTTCCTATGCTTCTCAAGGTTGGGGAGGGGTAGAACAGGAAATCCTTTGGCTGCCAAGGCTAAGGTGGATCCAGAGGCTCCAACCTCAGGCACTGACTTAGCGGTAAGGGCTATGGGGCTGTGTCCAGTACTGGATTTTACTGTCCTAAGTTCTGGCATGGATTCCAAGTCTAAGGATTTGACTTAATTCACTTCCTTCCCCCAAGGAGTTGTTGTCTCCATTTTGCAGTGCTTGGAGTTGGCAGACAGGTGACCTGGGCAGCTCTTTCCTTCCTGCCTTGTTCAAGGAATCCTTTCTTATTGAACTACTACCAGGTTCTCTCACCTAGATTCCATAGTTCCCAGTAAAGTAATACTCTAAGTGATTAGTTGTTTAAGACATTTCTGTGGGGAGGCAGTCACTAAGGGGTTATACTCTGTCATATTCTTTTCCCCCTAATTATTGAAAAAAGTCCTTTTAATTTACTACTTAAACGATAATGATTTATAGAAGTAGTCTGATAGTTGTATGTCAAAAATAACTTTTTTTTCTTTTTTAAAGATTTATTTATTTGAAAGTCAGAGTTACACATAGAGATGAGAGGCAGAGAGAGAGGGAGGGAGGGAGAGAGGGAGGTCGGTCTTCCATCCACTGGGCCACTCCCTAATTGGTCGCAATGGCTGGAGCTGCGCCAATCTGAAGCCAGGAGCCAGGAGCTTCTTCTGGGTTTCCCAAGTGGGTGCAGGGGCCCAAGGACTTAGGCCATCTTCTACTGCTTTCCTAGGGAATAGCAGAGAGCTGGATCAGAAGTGGAGCAGCTGGGTCTTGAACCGGCGTCCATATGGAATGCCAGCACCTCAGGCCAGGGCGTTAACCCACTGTGCCACAGCGCCGCCCCCCAAAAATAACTATTATAATTTTATTTTATAGCATCTATTAAACACACACACACACACACACACACTGGTATGTCAGAGCCAGATTCTATTCTAATGGTTCACCAAACCTGCTACTAAATTTCAGGAGTTTTCTACGCTACCTGACTCCAGACAAGTGTCCTGAAGTTTGTTATGGTGATAATATTTACACCATGGAGACTGGCAAAAGCTACAAGTCCAAACTCCTTTTTTTTTTTTTTCTTTTGGAGAGCCAGTTGTTAAACCCTAAGCATTTATTTAAGTGAAATAAAAAGATACTATCTTTGAAGTTGGGTTTTGTATAAGTTTCTGTGGAAAAAAAGCGAAACTAATATTTTCATTCATGTTTTCAGGTATACGGAAAGACCGAAGAGGAGGGAGAATGTTGAAACACAAGCGCCAGAGAGATGATGGGGAAGGCAGGAATGAAACAGGGCCCCCTGGAGACATGAGGGCTGCCAACCTCTGGCCAAGCCCTCTGTTGATCAAGCACACTAAGAAGAATAGCCCAGCCTTGTCTCTGACGGCCGATCAGATGGTCAGTGCCTTGTTGGAAGCTGAGCCCCCCATCATCTATTCTGAGTACGACCCTACCAGACCCTTCAGTGAGGCCTCGATGATGGGCCTACTGACCAACTTGGCAGACAGAGAGCTAGTTCACATGATCAACTGGGCAAAGAGGGTTCCAGGTAAGAAGACTAAGTTCATTTTTATTTTGATTCAACAGCTTTTCAAGGATTGGTTGTGATGGCATGGGAGAAACTGTAGGAGACAAGGAAGTAATTCCTTACTATTCCATTGATTTCAAGGCTGCATCATAATTTCTTAATTTTTAATATCAGTGCACTGTGATTCTCTTAGAAATCAGAAAACAATCTTTTATAATCAAAATATAGACAGTTAAAAAGCATTACTTTGACATAATTTAAGTATTTTCAACCCAGGGTATTTGCCAAAAAGATTTAAGGTGGACCCTACATGATAAATACATTCACTATCATATGTTCACAGTTTTTCAGAAGAGTTTAACATTAAATGAGCCACAACATTTTTTAAATATTGAGAACTATTTTTCCAAAATACTTCAATTACAAATAAGCATTTTACCTTTAAAATCTTTTCTGTGGACTAAGGAGATAATGATAGGTTTATGAACTGTGCCAATTATTTATCTAACATGGTTTTTACTTAGTATTTTAGGAGAAAGGGAACTAAAATAGAAAAATCAATTAGAGTTTTATCCTAGAGAAGAGCTGGTAGAAAGACACAATGGTTCAAGTGATGCTTTTGTCCTCACATTGATTTTTCTCAGAAGTGGTGTTTCTGTAAAACTTGACTGCTGTTCTTGTTGATCGGAGAGAATAACTCTAGTTATTATGGAAACAAGACTAGGAAATGACCTTCTCCACAGCCCAATATACCCATTCAGGAATTAATAAGGATAAAACCAAGTGGGAGGAAGTTAAATCTCTTTTCTGGACTCATGGGGCAAGTGAGAGATGGATTTATATAGAGATTTGCTCATTTGATTCATTTTCATGAGTGAAACTATTGCCTTTAATTAATGGATATTTTAAGTGAACCGAAAGATATAGAGTATGGTGTTTGTACTTCAAGAGTCACTGATATGAGATAGGCCAAGTGAATATATCTGGCCTCAGAGATTCTCACCTGTATTTTTTATAAACCAAGATATAAGCATGCAGCCCTTTAAATGGGGGTGGGGTGGGAGACCAGGTCTGAGATCCACTTGTTAGAAGGCATCTGCATATGTGAATGGAGTGGTGGATATTGGGTTGCTTGAAAGCATGGGTAATAATGGGCAAATTTGGGTTTTCAGAGTCAGTCCAACTGGCAAACAAAAACTCCTGGTCATTTTTTGGCTTAAGAGTTTCCTTGTTCACCTACATGTTCTAGCATTCTTAACGAAGCAGATACATTAAATGCACATATTGGGATCTAAACTTAATATGGCTATAGATTTTTTTCCTTTATATTTGCTATGATCTTGTTTTCATCCTTTGGGAGAAGAGAAACAAGCAAAGAAAAAAACTAATGGCCACATCCCTGACAGCCAAGTGTGGTTACTGTTAAGTTTTATTGTCCTGTTAGCATATATTTTTCCCTCATGAAATCTTGGCCTGCTGAATACAAGATTACATTTTTCATACTTATCAGTAGATTCCCATCCTGCTATTATTATAATTATAAAACTTTGAAGAGCATTTGAAGTAACTCAAAGTAAGTTAAAATACATTACTAGTGGATGAAAGAATTCATGACAATTATCTTCTGAATTCAGGAATAAAAGTGGAGACATAAATCACGGAAGGAAGAAATAATAACCAGGCATAACCATCCTACTGATAAGCCCAGAACTAGACAAATTTATGGAAATAAATTCTATAGAACATCATGGCGTTCATTTAAAAGACCTGGATGATTCAAAAATCCTTGGACCAAATTACATCTTGTTATTTGTTGATTTGGATAATTATAAAGATGAAAATTCAGTTATATATGTATACTTGTTTGTGTGTGTGTATGTGTATGTGCCACTGAAATACAGCTGTTGAACATCAAAAGACTGCTTTCCTGACCAAGCAAATTAAAACTTGCCATTGATTTAAAAAAGATGAAAAATGAGGAAAGAAAAATGTTTTATGCAAAGACTATGAAGAAGAATGTCTTCAGAAAATTTGACAAAGCCACATAGATCCAAATACCCTCTGTTATTTAAACAAATAGCTTTCAATAAAATCTAATATAGACAATATTATATTTGTGTGGTAATTGTTTGATAATTATAATAGCAACTTGTAGAGGAGGGAATGAAATATATCATTAGCAAGAAGAATAACAAGGAAGCCAGTTCTAAAAGTCCCTGTGATTAGCTAAATGACACAAAAACCTGCAGAGGATATTGGGATAATTCTTAGGATGACTGTGAATTGAACTGAAGTTTTGAATTAATTTAATTTTAAATGACAAAATTTAATTAACACTTTTGAGCAACCAGTATAGTAGTCATAGACCATGTTTTTTACTAACAATATTGTCAGAATTGCAAACATGATTGTAAGTTGAAGTTTCCTTTCTCTTGATGTTTGCAAGTTATGTCTTTACTTGATATTTCTCTTTCCTAAGAATTTAGATATGGAGAGCATAATACAATCATAAAACATAATCATTCATAATACTATCACATTATGATAGACAAGCTCCTCTGTAAAGTACATGTGTAAGATCTGAACAAAGACGGAAGTAAGAACTTATTTTTTTTCCTTTTGTGATTTATAAACCACAGAGGCAACAAGAAACATAAAATTTACTCAGCCAGCTCCAAGAAGGATTTTTAAGTAGCCTGTGTTGTATATTTACTCCTTGATATTTAGTTGTAGAGAAGGCTTTTCTCTTTTCAGTTTGCTTTGAAATCTATGTGTATTGGCATTTTATAATCTGTGGTTGGAGATTTCGTATTAAGCAATCAAGTTATGAAATCTTAATTTATTATTATCTTACACATAGTGAATCTAGTGAGTAAATGTTAACTCATTTAACTGAGGCTCAAATAAGGAAAAACACTATGACTGCCAAAAGCGTTTTATCTTTAATTTCTGCATCATTGAGTGGTGGATTCTTAGTTCTGGTGTTAATGAAATACATCTGATTTTTTTCAGCAGGAGCTCAAAATGCGTCACCAAAATGTCACTTCGAATTGTTAAAAATTAAGTGTTTCTCAAAGTTCACTATAATTTTACATAGTTCAAAAGGCACTCCATTTGTCAAATTTGTGTCCTAGGTCTATATTTAAGTCAAGATTTGAGGAGAAGTCTAGTCCTGGGCTTGTTATTGCCTCATGGAGGGTTGAGTCTAGGACTGGGAGGGAAATTGGCTGGGTGAGCTGGAGATGTGCTACCTTTGCCACTTCCTTTCTGTTAGTGGCGCCAAACAACCTTTTCCTTCCCCTTTCCTACCAATGCCCTCTTGATCCAGTGCTAGGGGCATCCCTAATCCCCAGCTCCACACCATTTTACCTTAGATTCCTTCCTTGCTCAGTGTTGGCCATGGACCCAGGATCCACTTTTTCTGGACATGCCTGCAACCATCTCCAAGCTCAGGTTTCTCAGAAGTTTCTGTGGTATCTCTGATAGCGTGTGACTGTCTTCCCAGGGATCCAGAAATTAGCTTCCCTGCCTCTAATATACCATCCTCATCTATCATTAGCAATGAACTGAGCACAGGAAGGACTTGAATAAAGGAATAAGTGAACAACTGAAAGGCGACTTTAAAGACTCATTTACAAAATCTCTGAGCCCTGTTAGAACTCAGTTTTTGCTATGACCTGGGGCTGCTTGTCAAGGCTGTGATATGCCCTTTTCACCTCTCTTCAGAATCTACCTGTTGCTCGGAAATCTCTGGCAGCTGTCCTAGTAAGACTCTGTTTCTAACCTTTCTTTTGTAAGGGGCAGAGAGAGGTGCCAGGATGAATGTAGAGACAGGAGCTCCGATGACTCGGACATTCTTCCATTTGTTATTGGCAAGTGAGTTCCACATAGTGAGTGTACTTAAAAACTCACAGCGGGTAGGGACAAGAGGGCAGGGAGAGGGCACAACCCCTCAATCTGGGAATTGGGAGCATTTTCAAGGCAAACATTCTATTCTGGGAGGCTCCTGTGGATTTCAGGGACTTGGAAAGGCTGCCCAGTACCCTACTTCCTAACTGCAGTCAGGCCACCAGCCCCTGCTCCCAGGTGGTCCATGTGTTCCAGCCTGCTTCAGTGTGGCACAGAGGTGACATGGAAGTATCGTAACTCTTTGGAGAGGTGACAGATGCAAATGCTGAAAGGCACTAACTGTGGTTTAGATTTTACAGCCTTTGCTTCATGAGAGCCTTTGGCCAGGGCTTGCATACTGTGGTGTGAATGTAGGCACATCCCTCTGGCTGGCACCGCCCAGCAGGGCTCTGATTCCAAGCCAGTGCTGCCCAGCTTTCCATGGCTCCTGCGGAAGCTCTGGGCAGAATCCAAGGAAAGAAGCTACTTACTTGATTTTCCCTTCATGTGAAACTTGAAGCCCCATCAATTCGTCTTGGCCTGCGTGCTACAAAGCCTTGAAATATCCTTTTCTCATCTTGAGAGTATTTGAGAAAAATGTCCCATCTGGGCCTCCGCCCCACCTTCACAGCTCTGTTTCAATGAGTCTGGGTTGGACCTCAGAATCTAGATGTTTCCCCTGAGCACAGAACATGCTGTCATCCCAGGCCACCCTAAGTGTTGCTATGACGTGCCAAGGATAATTTGGTATGGAGAATGTCTGGTTTTATTAACTGTTTGTTGGCTAAAAAGGAATATTACTATGGAAGTCTTATGGGTTGGATTGTGTTTCCTTGAAAACATATGTTGGAGTCCTATTGTCCAAACCTCAGGGACCTTACTTGGAAGTAGAGTCTTTCTAAAGGATCAAGTTCAAATTAAGTCATCAACATGAGAGCCCTAATTCAAAGACTGGCATCTTTACTGCAAGGGGACTTTGGATAAGGAGATAGACGTGCACAGAGAACAGATGGTGTGAAGACACATGGGAGAAGATGGTCATGACTGGAGTGATGCTTCTCCAAGCGCGGAATACCAAGGTTTTCTGGCAGGCATCCAAATCTAGAAGAGGCATAAATGGTCTTTCCCGAGGA